TAAACATTGTTAAAAAAAACAAAAAAATATATATATATATATATATATATTATTTTTAATGTTTTTCATTTAATATTTAAATTTCATATTATTTCAGCTTCATTTCAGTTACCAAAATTGATTTTATTTGTTTTAGTTTTTGTTAAATAACAATATTAAGCTTATTTTTGCTAAATGTAACAAAAATATTTGTAATAAATGTAATAATTAATAACACTGCTGTTGACAGAGCTTATCTTGTATTAACTCTTCATTCATGTCCGTAGGAGCGAATAATACCTGTGGCGGTGAGGACACACGTCTTCTTGCATTCTTCTTCTGTCTGGAAGCGGTTCTCGTTGCCCTGACAGCCTCCGTACCAGAACTGAGCACAAGCGTTTGCCTGTTTGTCATAGTACCAGCGAATGACGTAGTCTCTACAGGAGCCCTGACTCAGACTGAGCAAACACAGAGGACCCAGAGGAGCCGATTCTGGGCGAAGAAGAGAAAGTAATATCACTAAACACTTTCAGAAAATAAAAACACATTTTTTATGTTTTTTATATTATAAAAGTATAATTTTAATATACTTTTAACCATTCAGAAAACCTACTATAAAACTAACTATATTTAACAATTCCGAAAACTTACTATATTCAATTTAATATTTAATATTGTCAATAGGTTTTAGAACCACTTGTATACAAAATTAATATTATATATTTTTATGATAAAATATTTTTTAGCCTATTGGTAATATTTAATATTGTCAATATTTATGTTTTATAGCAGCTTTTGTATAAAAACATTATTTTATATTATAGAAACATCATTTGTAACATTTAATAATTTGCAATATATAATATTTCCAGCCTATTGACAATATTCAATATCATCAATAATTTTGTGTAAGAACAGTTGTATAAAAAAAAAACTACCTTTTATCACTACAGGACGAGGCTTTGCATTCACATTCACTGAAGTAGAATGTGTTGATACTGATGATGATGATGATGTTGTTCCTGGCTGTACAGGTTGGACAGTCTTATTGACAACAGCAATAGTGCTTCCACTTTGAGTTTGTGTCTTAATGTCTAGATCCTCGCCTTCATAGTCATTCTCCACCTGCACAGAAGCAACAACACAGAATCAGACAGCGGTCTGGTTCAAATCAGTCTGCATTAGTCTAGCGTGCATAAGAAATTCACAGTAAGTTAGTTGTGTTGCTTGACCTGTGCTTTGAGAGGGCCGGGGTTGATGGGAAGAGGTATGCCGTGTCCTTTGCCTCTAGAGTGAGTCTGAGATCTGTCCAGTGAAATCTCCTGAAATCTGTTCCCGTAAACATTATTCCTGTATGAAGAAACATCCTCTTGGCCGTTACCGTAGCCGTATCCGTTGAAGCCGTTGGTAATCCGGTTGAAGTAAAGGGCCCCGTTCTCATCCTCACAGAACTGGCTGACCAGCTTAGACTCCAGAGCTGCATGATGAGACCAAACACAGAGCAAGATGCAATTATATAACTTGAACTTTACATCTTTGCAGTTAGGATTATTCATTATGATCTTGCTGGTGATACAAAATTAAGCAGCACTTTTGCAGTGATTTTTCATTAAAAAAATTTATTTGGCCAGTCTTAAAGAGTGTATTATTATTATTATTATGAGTTAAGACTTGTTTAAAGATGTTTAAATAGTGTCTCTGATTTAAGTTCAGTCTGAAAAATAGTTAAAATTGGTAAAACTGATTCATTTTAGGGAATCTGTTCAAATTGTCCATTTCTTTTCAATTAACCGATTCAGAACTCAAACATGGGTCAAGGTCAAGTTTATTTATATAGCACCTTAAAAGCAACGAGTGCTGACCAAGGTGCTGCACAACCAAAACATCAGAAAAATCAACTAACAAAAGCATTAAGACAATATAATATTTGAAATCATTAAATAATACAATAAGTAATGCAAGACATCACCAAACAAAGAAACAAAACAAAAAAGTATTTTCAAGTTAAGCAAAAGCCTGAGTTTTAAGAGATGATTTAAAAGAAGATAACGTAGGGGATGATCTGATGGATAAAGGCAAAGAGTTCCAGAGTGTAGGACCAAGAACTGAAAAAGCTCTGTTCCCTTTAAACTAGATTTTGGGACAATCAATAACTTCTGAGAAGACGACCTAAGCATTCTCACAGGAGAATAGAAATGGAGAAGATCTGAAATGTAAATTGGGGCAAGACCATGAAGTGCTTTTAAAAACAAAAACTAAAACCTTAAAATCAACTCTGAATTTAACCGGTAACCAGTGAAGTGAAGCTAACACAGGGGTAATATGCTCCCTCTTTTTTGTCCCTGTCAAAATTCGAGCAGCAGCATTTCAATTCAGGATCAAAAATAACTACCAGATTTTTAACCTTTTCATGGATGTTTTCTTCAAAAGGGCCCAGAGTAGGTCTTAAATTATCTAAATGGTGAGAAGGGCCAAACAATATAACATAAGTCTTTTTTTGATTCAACTGTAGGAAATTATTTTCCATCCAATTCTTGATGTCCTCTAAACAAGCCAGCAAGGAGGACACTGAATCAGAACCTGATTTTAGAGGAAAATAAAGCTGAGTGTCATCTGCATAAATGTTGTATGAAACTTTGAGACTCAAATATAAAACGAAGAGGGAGCAAATACAGGGAGAATAAAATTGGACCCAAAATAGAGCCCTGGGGTACTCCACAAGTGATGGGAACTGAGCCTGATGAAAATTCACCAATTTCCACCGAAAAGCTCCTATTTGTGAGATACGATGCAAACCAGTCTAATGCAGTACCACAAATGCCAACCTCAAGATTTAATCTTTTTAACAGGATGCGGTGATCTACTGTATCGAAAGCTGCGCTCAGGTCCAATAATAAGAGAATAGTACAGTTACCAGTGTCTGCAGATAGCAAGAGATCATTTACTACTCTTAAAAGAGCTGACTCGGTACTATGTTTTGCTCTAAAGCCAGACTGAAAAGGATCCAGAATATCGTTAGAATTTAGGTAGAGGGAAATCTGGTTGAATACAACCTTTTCCAAAACTTTGTGCAGAAATGGCAGTTTTGAAATAGGCCTATAATTATTTAATTCAGTGGGATCAAGATTTGTTTTTTTGAGTAAAGGCTGGACCACAGCATGTTTAAGACAGGAAGGGACAGTGCCTGTCTGTACAGAACCATTAATAATATTGAGTAAGCTAGGCAAAACAGAGGGCAGAACATCCTTCAGCAGCTTTGTAGGAACAACATCACAAGAACAAGTACAACAACATACTCATGACAGTCTCTGGGTGGCATTTTTTCATTTATTAAATTGTTAATATGTTAGTTAGTTTAGTTTATTGTCCTTTCGGAAATTCTTTTTGTATCTGTGGCAACTCTTCAGTGATCAACAACAATAATTAACAATACAAACATCAACAGGTTACAACACATCACAAATAACATGTAGGTATATATGTATATGTGTGTATATGTGTGTATATGTATTGTTAAATGGGTGTATGCGCACAAAAATAGTTAAATACAGAAAACGTGATGTTTTTTTAAAACTAGATACCTTTTTAAAAATAACTTTTGCTGTATTTTAACTCTTGCATTAAACATTTTCAAAATAATTGGTGACAATGGCTGTTATAAAAAAATATATTTTTAATATAATTGTATTATATTTTTCAGCATTATATATTATATTATATTATATAGCAAATCAATTTTTGCTATTTATGTATGTATTTATTTTATATTATAAAAATATAATGTTTACCTTTTTTTTAGCCTAGTGACAATATTCAGTATTGTTAATACATTTTACATGTCTGAATGTATGAAATATATTTTTCTATATTATATTTATATTTAATACATTTTATTATTTTATATTGAAAAATAGTATTTTATATCAAATAGAATATTTTATTCTATTTTTCACCCTGTTGACAGTATTTATTGTCAATATTTGTTTTATGACAACTGTATGAAAATGCATTTTATATTATATATTTATATAATAATAATAACAATAATAATTTGTTATATTGCCCAGGCCTATATGCAAAAATAAATAAATAAACAAACAAACATCTCTGTGTGTATATAGGTTAATTTTCTTCCATGCTCACCTGGCAGTGTGTTGTAGTCATCAATGAGGAACATATGTTCACTGTCAGGGTCAGAAGCGATGAGGTTGAGCTCCCTCAGGAACTCAGCCTGTGTTGGGTCAGAGCTGTTCACGATTCCCAGCGCATACATCTCAATGTTCGCCACTTGAGCCTCGCGTACTGCCATATCCAGCTTAACAGGTTCTCTCTTATCCGTCTGTCCATCCGTAATGACAATGGCTACTTTTCTGACCCCGTTCCTGGCGCTGTAAAAGGCTTCTTGTGTGGCTTTGCGGATGGCAGTGCCAGTGTAGGTGCCCTCTCCCATGTAAGGCATGTTCCTGATCGCCTTCTTGACATCCTGCTTGGTCATATACCTGGCCAGGTTAAACTCCAGATGGACGTCCAAGCTGTAAAGAACCAGACCGATTCTCGTGGCATTGCGACCCACTGTGACGCGGTCCACTAAAGCTGTGACGAAGTCCTTGATGATCTCAAAGTTTTCCGGGCCCACGCTTTCAGAGCTGTCAATCACAAACACCAGCTCCATGGGCCTTTCCTTGCACTTAATACCACATCCTAGAAATATATGCAGTCATATCATGACACACCTGTTTTACTCATTATCAAATCATTTGTTTTGTCATATTTAAAGTGTACAACTCACCACAAATCTCCTTAACATGTAGGTATATATGTATATGTGTGTATATGTGTGTATATGTATTGTTAAATGGGTGTATGCGCACAAAAATAGTTAAATACAGAAAACGTGATGTTTTTTTAAAACTAGATACCTTTTTAAAAATAACTTTTGCTGTATTTTAACTCTTGCATTAAACATTTTCAAAATAATTGGTGACAATGGCTGTTATAAAAAAATATATTTTTAATATAATTGTATTATATTTTTCAGCATTATATATTATATTATATTATATAGCAAATCAATTTTTGCTATTTATGTATGTATTTATTTTATATTATAAAAATATAATGTTTACCTTTTTTTTAGCCTAGTGACAATATTCAGTATTGTTAATACATTTTACATGTCTGAATGTATGAAATATATTTTTCTATATTATATTTATATTTAATACATTTTATTATTTTATATTGAAAAATAGTATTTTATATCAAATAGAATATTTTATTCTATTTTTCACCCTGTTGACAGTATTTATTGTCAATATTTGTTTTATGACAACTGTATGAAAATGCATTTTATATTATATATTTATATAATAATAATAACAATAATAATTTGTTATATTGCCCAGGCCTATATGCAAAAATAAATAAATAAACAAACAAACATCTCTGTGTGTATATAGGTTAATTTTCTTCCATGCTCACCTGGCAGTGTGTTGTAGTCATCAATGAGGAACATATGTTCACTGTCAGGGTCAGAAGCGATGAGGTTGAGCTCCCTCAGGAACTCAGCCTGTGTTGGGTCAGAGCTGTTCACGATTCCCAGCGCATACATCTCAATGTTCGCCACTTGAGCCTCGCGTACTGCCATATCCAGCTTAACAGGTTCTCTCTTATCCGTCTGTCCATCCGTAATGACAATGGCTACTTTTCTGACCCCGTTCCTGGCGCTATAAAAGGCTTCTTGTGTGGCTTTGCGGATGGCAGTGCCAGTGTAGGTGCCCTCTCCCATGTAAGGCATGTTCCTGATCGCCTTCTTGACATCCTGCTTGGTCATATACCTGGCCAGGTTAAACTCCAGATGGACGTCCAAGCTGTAAAGAACCAGACCGATTCTCGTGGCATTGCGACCCACTGTGACGCGGTCCACTAAAGCTGTGACGAAGTCCTTGATGATCTCAAAGTTTTCCGGGCCCACGCTTTCAGAGCTGTCAATCACAAACACCAGCTCCATGGGCCTTTCCTTGCACTTAATACCACATCCTAGAAATATATGCGGTCATATCATGACACACCTGTTTTACTCATTATCAAATCATTTGTTTTGTCATATTTAAAGTGTACAACTCACCACAAATCTCCTTAATCAGCTTGATTATGTCTTCTCTCTGAAACATAATAAAAAAATGACTGAATTTGCTAATATTTACAGTGCATACGTTTGCATAGTTTTCCTAAAATGAACACATTAATCAGCTTGATTATGTATTGTCTCTGAAAAATAATTAAACAATTACTGTATTTGCAAATATTTGCAATGCATATGATTGCATAGTTTTCCTAAAATTAACTCCTTAATCAGCTTGATTGTCTTCTCTTTGATAAAACATTGAAAAATGACTGAATTTGCTAATATTTACAATGCATATGTTTGCATAGTTTTCCTAAATTAACTCATTATTATAATGCATATGGTTGCATACTAAAATGTATTCATTAATCACCTTGATTATGTCTTCTCTCTGAAAAATCATTGAAAAATGACTGAAATTACCAGTATTTGCACTGCATATGGATGCATAGATTTCCTAAAATTAACTCCTTAAACAGCTTGATTTTCTTCTCTTCAAAAAATCATTAAAAAATACTAAATTGGCTAATATTTACAATGCATATAATTGCATAGTGCATATGGTTGCATACTAAAATGTAATCATTAATCACCTTGATTATGTCTTCTCTCTGAAAAATCATTGAAAAATGACTGAATTTGCACTGCATATGGATGCATAGATTTCCTAAAATTAACTCCTTAAACAGCTTGATTTTCTTCTCTTCAAAAAATCATTAAAAAATACTAAATTGGCTAATATTTACAATGCATATAATTGCATAGCCTTTTCTGAAATTATCTCCTTAATTGGCTTGATAATGCCTTCTCTCTAAAAAAAAAAAAATTTTAAAAATGACAGAATTTTAAATATTTGCAATGCATATGGTTGCACAGTTTTTCAAAAAGTAACTCAAAATACAGCTGAAAAGATGTAATTAAAAAATGACAGAATTTTAAATATTTGCAATGCATATGGTTGCACAGTTTTTCAAAAAGTAACTCAAAATACAGCTGAAAAGATGCAAATGTATTAGATCTTACCGTGAGCCCTTGTTCGCCCTTGATTCCTGCTCTTCCCTAAAGGGAGAGATTAAAACACTCATGTTGTACAATGTGATTTAGTATTCACACTTAAAACTCCGTCTGCTTTTACACAAAAGATGGTTTATAGTAACTAAATTAACTCACAGCTAGTCCTGGAGTCCCTGGGTCACCCATGTCACCTCTCATTCCTTTGAAGCCCCTCTCGCCCTGCAAACCACGATCGCCCTGCAGGACAGAGAGATTTACAGATGAATTAAAGGATTCATATCATACATTTTTACTAATAATTTTTCTTCCTGAAGTCGAGTTCAATTGAGTCATTTCTTGCTATTGTGCCTCTAAGACATCTATGTAAATGCCCTCTACACACGTAATATGTGATACAGAGTGCTTCTCTTATTTACAAGCTGCATGTTTGCTGCCGAGTCTTTATGTTGCTAGTATGATCTAAACCAAAGTCTTACCTTGGAGCCTGGAAGTCCCTCTCCTGATGGGCCCCTCGGCCCTGTCACTCCAGGAGCCCCCTGATCACCCTGATGGATTTAACAAACAAGTTTATTTTGTGACCTGGTCATCGTGACTTGAACACAATGCTATGGTGCATTAGAGCTATGCGGTATTTTGAATATTCATGATTTCATGATATATATCTGATATGAAATCTATCTATTTATATATATATATATATGTATAGTATAGTATAGTATAGTCCACCCCCCAAGAAATAAAAATTCTGTCATTATTTATTCACTCTAATGTTGTTCCAAACCTGTATGACTTTCTTTGTTCTGCAGAACCTACAAGAAATTTCAACAGTTTCGGTTTCCATTGACTTCCATTATATGGATAAGATATACAATGGAAGTCAAAGGCAATCGAAACTGTTTGGTCACCAACATTCTTCAAAATATGTATTTTTTTGTGTTCTCTAGAAGGAAAGCAGTCATACAGGTTTGGAAGGACATGCGAGTGAACAAATAATGACAGAATATTAATTTTTGGGTGTACTATCCTTTTAAAAACAATGTCTTGGTCATTTTTTAAGTACATTTTCAATTGTTTGGCTGACATTATGAAAACAAAACACCTTTTTTAAAGTGTAAATACAGAATTATCCAGACTAAATGTGAAGAATATATAATTTTAGCTATATCGCCCCACCCTATATTGCAGGTAGTTGATGGTTAACCTACTTTGGGTCCCTGAATGCCTTCCCCTGGGGGTCCTTGTGGTCCTGGAGGACCTGGTCTTCCCATGTTGCCCTGAAACAGCAAGACAGCTGAATTAATATGGGAGGAACAGACAGCTTGTCTTCCTCAATCCCCACAGCAACACAGACAGACTCCCTGTGCATGCTGTTCAGAGCTCTTGTTCTGGACGTGTGGGGCGTTCAGTATCACAGTCTCATTACTGTAGTCAGAGAGATTCCCGGGAGAGTTTATATCAGATGACATGAATATCAATCTTACCAGTGGTCCCTGCAATCCTTCACCAGGTGGTCCTGGCAAACCAGGCAAACCCCTGAATCCGACGTCTCCCTGAAATGAAAGTGAAGTTTTACCAAAAGCACCATTTAAATTTATTCCAACTGTGCAGGACATTTGAATGTTTCCATCATATATGACTTAATACATTGAACTCAGTATTTCTATAATAACTGCCACTCAATCATTAGTCTGCTTTCTTTTATCACAATAACACACTTAAGTATGAATTTTTATTTCACTACTTAGAAAGTTAAGTTCTATTTGTAGAAGTTAAAATAAAATAAAATGTAAATTGTATTTTTATTATTATTTACTTTTTTATTATATGATATAAAATAAGGTAATATTTTCTCTAATATAAATGTTTTTAAACAAAACATTTTTAGGAATATTGTTTTAATTCATAATCCATTTTTACATTTTTTTTCTATCACTTTACATCCTGTTACATCCATTTTACTACCAAAATCATTCACCAGGAAATTACATAATTTTTAAGTGTACTCAACAACACAAAGCTCAGTAATAGTAATAGTAAAGTTCTGTGATGTTTTGTGCTACAAACTCTGAAACAGTTGGTCATGATTGATACATTTACAGAAATCAGCATGAAAGTATTAGCATTTCAAAGGATGGTTAAAAAAAATAATACACAATTAACTTCAGTCCCTCACAGAGCAATGACCAATTTAAGCTCTTTACTTCCATTCTGTTCATTTCCATGTAGATAATTGTGTAGACTTTGTGTAAATAATCAAGCCATATTGAATGAAGCTGAAGTGCCTTAACACATTTCTGAAAGCCACAATTGACCCTCCTATATCATCATAAATACATGAAGTGGTAACTTCACCTTTGGTCCAGGAACACCAATGCCTTCAGGGCCGGGCTCACCTGGTGGTCCTGGTAAACCAGACAGACCCTGTGTAAAATAAACACACACGCTCAAATACCCAGCAACAAACCTGATTAATGGGAATTGTGATAAAAATGACTGAAAATGTTAAGTGAAGTATGGGCATGCAGTGATGTTATATGGAAATAGGGATGTAAGAAGTTGCTTACCACTGGACCAGGAAATCCTTCACCTTTAGGTCCAAATGGTCCGGGCGGTCCTGGGTTACCTCGATCACCCTAAATGTGATAAGGAAGGACTATAACTTCATATATACTGGTTAAATGTTTGGAATAATTATGATATTTTAAAATGTTTTTAAAAGGAGTCTTTGCTCACCAAGGCTGCATTTTTAAATTAAAAATACAGTAAAAACAGTAATACTGTGAAATATTATTATAATTTAAAGCATATTAAAAGAAAAGAAAGCAGCAAAAACTGGTGTTGACACTGATAATACTAAGAAACATTATTAATATTTGAGCATTCATAATAATCAATAATAACTGAGCAGCAACTCAGCATATTAGAATGATTTCTGAAGGATCATGTGACACTGAAGACTGGAGTAATGATGCTGAAAATTCAGCTTTGCATCACAAGAATAAATTACTAACAAATAAAATACTTAAACATTTTTTTTTTTAAATATTCAAATAGAAATCAGTTTTTTTTTATTGTAATAATATTTCACATTATTATTATTATTATTATTATTATTATTATTATTAAAATATTCAAATAGAAATCAGTTTTTTTTAATTGTAATAATATTTCACATTATTATTATTATTATTATTATTGTCTGATCAAAAAAATGTTGCCTTGGTGAGTATAAGAGACTTGTTTCAAAAACATTAAAATTATCCCAATTGTCTATATAAAATGTTTGCTGTTTCATGATTAGCATAAACAAAATGTCTCGTTATAAATACATTTCTTTCAAAAACATGTTTTTAAAAAAACTCTAAATTATTCCACACTTTTGACCAGTAAAAAAAAAAGCTATATAGAGCTGCTTTATGATTAGCATAGTCAAAATCTCTTATTTCAGTATTTTTTTTCACAATCATTACAAAACATGATCAAATCTGAATTATTCCACACTTTTGATCAGTTATATACATATTGCTCAATCAAACTCCCTTATTCCTTTTACTCATTTTCTTCATTGTTCTACAGGTTAAAAAGTCCCACCCACCTTTGGACCAGGCAAACCGTAACCAGTCTCTCCAATCGGTCCGGGAGGACCAGCGGCACCCACATCACCCTGAAGACATGAGAAGATGAGGTCATACCATTACTTCTTAAATACTTGCATCGTTGCATTGGTGGTAAAAATTAAGCTTTGACAGTTTAGCAAAAGGTTTTGCACAAATTAGCCAAAAAGACAGTGGTGCAGGGTGTGCGATATACACTCACCGGCCACTTTATTAGGTACACCTTTTCAATTGCTTGGTAACACAAATGACCATGGAATGGTTGTTGGTGCCAGACGGGCTGGTCTGAGTATTTCAAAAACTGCTGATCTACTGGGATTTTCACGCACAACCATCTCTAGGGTTTACAGAGAATGGTCCGAAAAAGAGAAAATATCCAGTGGGATACTGCTACAGCAGCAAAAGACCACACCGTGTGCCGCTCCTGTCAGCTAAGAACAGGAAACAGAGGCTACAATTCGCACAGGCTCACCAAAATTGGACAATAGAAGATTGGAAAAACGTTGCCTGGTCTGATGAGTCTCGATTTCTGCTGCGACATTCAGATGGTAGGGTCAGAATTTGGCGTAAAGAACATGAAAGCATGGATCCATCCTGCCTTGTCTCAACGGTTCAGGCTGGTGGTGGTGGTGTAATGGTGTGGGGGATATTTTCTTGGCACACTTTGGGCCCCTTAGAACCAATTGAGCATCGTTTAAACGCCACCGCCTACCTGAGTATTGTTGCTGACCATGTCCATCCCTTTATGACTACAGTGTACCCATCTTCAGATGGCTACTTCCAGCAGGATAATGCACCATGTCACAAAGCTCAAATCATCTCAGACTGGTTTCTTGAACATGACAATGAGTTCACTTTACTCAAATGGCCTCCACAGTCACCAGATCTCAATCCAATAGAGCACCTTTGGGATGTGGTGGAACGGGAGATTCGCATCATGGATGTACAGCCGACAAATCTGCAGCAACTGCGTGATGCTATCATGTCAACATGGACCAAAATCTCTGAGGAATGTTTCCAACACCTTGTTGAATCTATGCCACGAAGAATTAAGGCAGTTTTGAAGGCAAAAGGCGGTCCAACCCGGTACTAGCAAGGTGTACCTAATAAAGTGGCCAGTGAGTGTATATATATATATATCCGGTACTAGCAAGGTGTACCTAATAAAGTGGCCAGTATGTGTATATCGTCTGTGATAATAACGTAATTGTTGTTTTAACGATGTGTGATTTGACATTATCAGTATTTTGCCAAAAACCAAACAAAACACTCCTACAGAGTGCCTTGAAGTCTAGTAGATAGAATAACGTTAGTGCGCGCGCGCATTTAGAGTGCGTTCTTTTACTGCGTGATTCAGTCTGTTAAAATGCATTCAGAATTATCACAATTTATTTGGCCAGAAAATTTATATATTTATATCATTTCATATAGTAAATCAATATCACACAAAGAGTGTCGTTTTTTTCTCCAAAAATCAGCATGATTACATATAGATTTTTTTTTTAAAACAGTTCAACAAACAAAAAGTTAATTAAGAGCCTTGCGTTTTAGACAACATATCGCCTGTTTTTGCTCTTTCGACAACAAAAATAATTCCAAACACAGCCAACATAGCACAGTTTTGCGTCTGAGCAACGTGACGGTGTTTCGTTCAATTCAATTTCAAGTTCCTGAATGAATCAACCGTTTTAATGATTCGGTTCAATCGCAATGACTCACTTATTAACAGTGACTTGCTGACACCTACTGGCGGTTTTAATTTCACATTTAAGTATCTTTT